AAATCTCATCGTTGCACGCACTGAGGCCTTTTTTCTCTTTGTTCTTTATTCCTGACCGGCAGCGGAACGAGCACTGAATCGCAATATGGCGTGTCAGCTGGTCCGATTGAGTTCCTGTTGTGGCCTTTGGAGGAAAATCTGCGACTGAAGTAACAGCCTATACTGCAAGCTGTAAATCGCGAAGTTTTTTCATACCCGGTGAATGAATGATGTATAGCGTTAATCAACAGCCTGGGAGGTTATCTTGTTTTCTGTGTGTCGTGGGGTAGGGCGTTTTGATGGTGCGGACAAAACCACGAGATGCTTGTAGTGTATACCGAAAAACAAAGCTTAATTAGCTTAGTTTAGTGTACGGATCTTAAAAAAAAAAGAAGGAACAGTTGAATAGAAAGTTCATGAAGCGTCGTGGTTGCAAGCTTAATGGCGTAGCGGGAAACGCTGGAGAGAGATGAAAGGAAACAATAAATATACAAACGTTCTCGATCATTTATGGGTTAGTGTGTCTACATAGCCTAAGCACTTCGTAACGCACACGTTTAATCAGCGTGTCTATAACCTTTAATTACTGCATCTTTCGTATGAACCCAACTCGCCATCCCCAATACCATTTTATAGGCTGTTAGCCGGGTGAACATTATATAATAAAAGGAACAGTACATATTGAAAGGAACGTTATACTAAAAGGTCACTCTTTGCGCATAATAATGAAAACCACCGTGAAGGGGCACTAGAGGCTCTGGTTACAATAACGAGAGATTAAAACGAATAACGTCATCGCTTCTCTTCCCATAGTTTCGACCTTGCCTCAATATATTGCTCTTTTTCCCCTCTCTCATTCCTCCCTTCTTTTCTTTTCTGTCTCGTCTTACCGCTTCTGAAGAACAGAATAGCCAACCAGATATTTCTTTTCCGGTTAACTCCCTGTATTTCCGCAGTACACTTCTCTATTTCTCTCTTTTTTGTTTTTTATTTTGAAAACCTGCCCTTAGGCATAGTAATTAGTGGTGTCGAAAATACGCATGCAAATTTCCACGGTGCCGAGTGACAGAGCTAGTGACATGCGTTGCCGTGCTTCGCAATTTTGCGGCGTTCCGCTGCAGTCCAAGCCGAACCTCAGTCGGGGTGGACTTCTTTCGTGGAAAGGTGGTACGTTTTCCGGAAGAGTTTGCATTTATTAGCTCAAGTAACGCGCCACGAGGCGATACCTGGAAAGCGGGCAACACGAATGAAATCTGCGCGGCAATTTAAAAGAGAACCGCCGCAAAAATATGTATTTTATTTTCGTTGAAGCGCGAACAGCGCGAGACGCCCTCGCAAAGTGTAGCGCATTTGCATACGTTTCCGAGGCTCGTTCCTCAGAAAAGCAGCAACAGAGACGGACGCCGTGCCGGTGTGATGGGCTACGAGGAAAGGATGGGCGGAAAGTGCGTTTTAAAAAGCAGCTTTGGTTGGCGTTAGTCGTTGTTGTCTTTTTATTCTCGCGTGCGGAAGGATAATCCCCGGCGCTTTTAGCGCCTTGACAGATGCGGCAGACTATTTAGTCGTTTCCCGCGAGTTTCCTTGATGGTGGATCACCGAGAAACGGGCTATAGTGTCGCTATGGAGCCTTGTTCGTTTCTTTAGGACCCTTCCCCTCCCTTTGTGGTATGACTTCTCGTCGCTTCTAAGGCTGTAGTCTTAACGTGTTTCCGTTTATCATTATCCAAGTGCCTCGCGGAAATATTCTCTTCTGAAACGAGGCGAAGTCACCTGGGGATTTTGGGTGAGTTCCTGCTTCACATATACGGCTCATTGATCACACATTGTCTAAGAAGTCCTGTCATCTACGCACTACGTGGCCACCAGTGGCGCCGCTAAGGCGAATAGAAGAGATGGGTGTATCTGGAACGCTAATAAAAGTCGTGCTGTAATACCGCAGAAACCTCTGCTGTGTTTACCAGTGTGGTATAACTTTCTACACGGTATTGAGTAACAAGTTTCTGATGTAGATGATTCCACGTGAATTTAGTTTTTTTTTTTTGCATTGTTGTAGAGACAGCTGCTCGTCGTTATAGGGAAGCAGTTAGCCGATCTGACCGAGTTTGAGTCGACATACTGCATACATGTAGGCTATGCTAAGATGTCGGTACATGAGATAATCGTTTAGGTAACCTGCAGCATTAAATAAATTTTACCATGTGGGTCTCCACTGAACTGTGCCGATTAACTTCTCGTTTCTAAACTTTCCCTTGGTTATGTACGTGTTACGCATGTGCACAGCTTGCAGCAATTGAAACTTTCGCGAATATTTCAAACCTTCGTCCAAATAGTGAAGGAGATGGTTAACTAAAGAAAAAAAAGAATAATCGAATCGAAAGAGAGGGAGGGAGAAAAAAAAAGGATATGCAAGAATAAAGAGAGCAGAGAAGGTTGCGCAAGTGCACGCGAAGAAAGCACAAGAGTCGATGTAGCGGCAATGGGGGTGGTCGCGCCATTTATGTCTTGAGCATCGCCAGGAGGAGCCACCGAGCGTGGAAGTGACCGTTGTCTCTTGGCAGACTTGTTACATCTCAGATACCGCCAGAAATTGGTGGCTGAAAATTAAAAGAAAAGAAACGTGCAGAAAAACCAAGCGAAGACGCAAGAAAGAAAATGAAAGGCAACAGCGTCAAGTGCGGCCCTCTTTTCAGCCGATGAGCCACAGTCACGACCGACCAGGCACTTCCATTGAACAGCGTGCCATTGCGGTCGGCGGGCATATTTAATAGAGGAGGTCAATTAATAGCGCGCCAAGAGAAGAAGACTCTTCGCTCGCGGCCGTCGGGCAGTACATGCGCCCCCTCGAACACGGCAACCATGCAGCGGTCGCGGTGGACAACGCCCCTCAAATGGCGCTGCGGCGTGTCTCGAGCCACTTAGGGCACCGCGCGATGTGCGCTGAAGAGGTGGTCCGCGCACAGGGCTTTCTCTATATCCTCCATTTGTGGCCACGGGCGCAGCTCCGGGCGCGCATTAAGAATATCACGGAAGCGTCGCAATAGCACGCACGACGAAAAGAAAAATACTAATAGAAAAGTAGGAACGGGGCAGCTAAATGTACGCGGACGACTTTAACCGAGAGCGCTGCGGGGATGTTATGTCCCGCCACCTTCGCTTTCTCCGGAATGACGCGCGGTGTGCGGTAAAAGGAAAGAGAGGGGCGAGCCAAATGCATACAGGCACGTCACACACTAAGCGTGCGCCCGCAGAGGTCTTTAAGGCGATGTAGTGGAAAGGGGAGGAGGGGGAGGTGCAGGATAGGAAGTATACACGACCCGCAATTTGCGGCTCTTTCATGCGGGCCTCGGAGGCGTCGTCGGCGGGACGAAAAACGAAGTCCGCCGCACTCTTAGTGAGACCCCGTGCGGTAGAAAAGTGCGAAGGGAGGCAGATCGCATGCGTGGAATGGGCGATTAAAAGGGGCAGTGCGTGCGTCGGGGACAACACATGGCCATTAGCGGCAGCGCCTCCGAAACTGGGCCCCCGCCGACGCCGCCACGCCCGTCACGCGTGCTCATGCCGCGTGCTGCTGATTCTGCTGCTTGTGATGCTGACGTGAGACGTTTGGACTCCCCTCGCTGCTGTCGCAGCTGACGGAGCTCCGTCGCCCGTTTACTTCATTAGGCGGAAGCGGCGCACACGGCGTTTCTTTTATACGAAGACTGAAGATTAGAGGGGATGACGATGAACGTTTTTTTTTTCGTTATTTCGACCTCGAATCCTTGGGGGGGTCTTCTCACGAGAAGCGGGCTGTAGACTCCACCCGAAGAAATGGACATGCCAGTGACGCTCCACTGAATCGATTAGCGTACGAGACTCGAGTTGTCAGCCTGAGAATCGTCGCATATTGTCATGACATTGAATGACAGCATTCGTATAGAACTAAACCTCAATTTTGTGAAGTGATACAGAAATGGCTTGCTATGCTCGTGGCTATGATAGCGTTGCGGTTGTCGTGTCTTTCCTACATTACACGTGGTTTGGCACTACTTTTGCGGCGATAATGATGGCAGAGGATAAAACCTAATTGGTTGCAACCTGCTTGCTTATTCGTACTTTGTTTTAAGAACGTGAACAGTGAATATGGCATCAATAAATGCGCTACAGAATGTTCTTCCGGGGCTGTGTTCAACCATGACCACCATTTTGATAATGTTTGTTGTAAAAACGTGGCTTCTGCTGGCGACGGAACGATTATGGCAGATTGCACCTGCGTTGCTTTCTGGACGATGGCTCTGATAACGATGGAGGTCCTTAGATTGTCACACATTATCCTCAAACCTGAATTCGCTGACATCACCGTTAGTGATTGTACATAAGGGTGCCTTTGCGGAAGTTAAAGTTAACCTATTCTAATAAAGATATGCATACAGTTTCTAAACTTATAGAGCAATAAAAGAGCCTGTACAAAAACTATTTTTTATTTAAATTTTGAACATGAGTGCACGTCATACATATATCCATTTTGCTTACGTTTAGGCATTACTACCAACTCTGAGGCTTTTTTTCTAGTTACTTATTCTACGCAGGCCCTGTTGGAAAATACTGGCATAGTTGAATTACTCTACAGGAGGAGAGTAGTAAAAACACTTCGCTAACATAATTTCCTACAATGTGTTGCAAACCTTGGGGGAATTCTCTGCCTAAGCAGATGGGGGGGGGGGGGGGGGGGGGCTGGAGTCTGTAGAGGGTGAATTACAAATCTTCATAGGTGTGTGCACGTGGGGTTAGGTACATACAAAACGACTAAAACATTTCTCAGAAAAGGAAAGAGATGGGGCGTATAACCTTCTCGACTCTTTTTCTTTGGCTTCACCAATGCCGTTAGGATTCCACGTTTTGTGCCTCGTTCCCACGATTGTTCTGCCCTTGTCATATAATTTCAACTGCCAGTGAACTACGTGTTGTTTGATGCATTGGAAACCAAAAGATGATCCTGTTAGCACCACCACAATCTGTTTTTTTTCTTGTTCTAATTGCAGGTTATTCGGCACCACAGGACTCTGCTCTGCGTGCAGCAAAGCTATCCCAGCATTCGAGATGGTCATGCGGGCGAGGGGAAACGTGTACCACCTCGAGTGCTTCGCCTGCCAGCAGTGCAGCCACAGGTGAGGCCTGTTTAATGAACTATGCGGAGGAGGACCAGACGCGAGTCTGCTTTGCTACCCTCAGCCATGGTAAAGTGGAGAAAAGTAAGAATGGACAGATCCACCGCCGCGGTGGTCTAGCGGTTATGGAACTCGACTGATGACGCGCCGGTCGCGGGATTGAATCCCTACCGCGGCGGCTGCATTTGATATGCAGGCGAAAATGTTTGGGGGCCGTTTACTGAGCTTTCGGTGCACAATAAAGAACCCCAAGGCGCCTAAATTTTTGGAACCCTCCTCTACGGCGTCTCTCATAATCATATGGTGGTTTCGTGACGTTAAACCTTATATATTATGGTTAATACTATAAATGACGGATAGATATAAAACATCAATTAAAATATATTGTATTTTCTCTCATGTAACCCGCACACCTAACATTAAGTCTAAAAAAAGAAGTATGCATATAACTCGCACTGTTTAGGTACATTTTTATTGTTTTTTTGTGTGGCCGCTATTTGCGAGAAAATATGGTATGTAAAAACAAAATCTTACGTTGCATTTCTTCACAGAGTTTCATGGGTCGCTTTATTTTTTCGTGTTTGAATTACTCGTTTCGTGTTTCATTTCGTTTCGTGTGGATAGCTTTACGAAAAATTGAAGGAAAAAAAAAACGTCATGTTTCGAAGTTGCAGGATGCCGTTAGAGTCCGTCCCATGGTGTCGAAATTCTATGGGGGTGAAAGGGAAGACCGCATGTGTAACTAGATTAATTTGCATGTTAAGGAAACCTAGGTGCTCAAAACAAAGCTGGTGTCCCCCACAATGGCGGGCCTTAAAATCATATTGAGTTCTTGACATGCAATGCTCCACAATCCAGAATTCATTTTATGTAAAGCTTTATTACTTTCTCTTAGCAATGTATATGCGTGCAGACTATAGATTGAACAAGGGTGATTCTCTATATTTGTTCTACAGAGCATCACTGTTTTTATGGGATTTATATATTGCTATGGTATTTCGTTTAATGTCATTCTGAGTGACGCAGAGCAGACGGAGGTGACTCTTCAGCACGTCACCATTTTCCCAATATAGTATGTTAAAATTAAAAACAGTAAGGCATTGCGAAATCCAGTTGGGCAGTCGGCAATCCGATGGGTATTTACAAATTACTATTTTCTCACAGATTTCTCTATTGATTTTAATCGCAGGTTCTGCGTTGGTGATCGCTTCTACTTGCACGACAACCGCATTCTCTGCGAGTACGATTACGAGGAGCGGGCCCTGATGGCTGGCGTGCCACCGCCTTTCTACACCACCGGTCCCGGAGGCGCTGCCGGGGGTCCCGGAGGCTTAGCGGCGGCGCTCAGCCACCAGCAGGCCAACAACCCGCTCCCGGTAAAGCGTCCGGGTCAGCAACAGCAGCAGCAGCAGCAGCATCAGACGCCGCAGCAGGCGGTCATGTCTCAGCCCCAGCCTCCATCGCAGCATCAGCAGCAGCAACAGCAACAGCAGGCTCAGCCTACTCAGCAACAGTCTCACTCCGTGGACGAGCCCACCAGGGACGACCGTTCGAGCGGTTACGGCAGCGGGGACTCCCCGTATGACGGCCGGTAGCTATGGCGACCCCCAGCGCCGACCATGATCTGCGCTGCGCGCCCTTTTGTCGGCAACGGCGCGACCAAGAAACGCAAGACCAAGAGGTAGATCTTTCCTTCAATGGAGAAGAGACTCGCACGGCTATGCTAAGAGAAGTGCCGTCGGTGACCAGAACAGTTGAAAACGAAACGTGCTGTGCTGGAGCCACGTTTAACCGCCGTCGGTCTCGTTCTGCGCGTGATTTGGCGCAGGTCCATCGGATGTGCACGCGCACGCTTCATTGTGGGACGACGCGAGAACGTGTGATTCGAGGATCGTGCTGCGGTTCTTCGTTAGCGGTACGACAGTTTAATGTATGAAGAATGCAAGGAGGGGCTCGTTTTATGAGAAATATGCGAAGCTTACTGCTGCTCTGTTTCGCGCATGCTTATTGCAACTGTTCGTAATGGCCTTTTCTGTGCTTTCCACTTGGGTGTCGGTGCAGAGGATATTATTTCGTGCTGGCAAAATCATATAAGACATTAACTTACGCATTTTTTATTTTTTATTGGAGGTTACCTGTTCTTTACATGCGTCTTGGGGTTCTAGTGTTGTTTCAGAATGTAAAGTAGAGCGGTACTTGGATGTAAATTGCATTCGTTCTTTTTAATCACAAACCTCAACGGATATCCAGCCTTTCATTTCTTCGTTTTCGTGCCTTTTAATTCTGCAATCTCAGGCGTAACGAGACGCTTTGAAACAGCTTGTTTTAGCCTTTCCATCACCGTTGACTTTCCTGTCTTGGTGCGCTGATGGCATTTATGTTGCATTGCCGTTGCTTTGAAGGATAGTTTTCAACCTTGGCTGTATAACGAGTGACAAGTACTTAAGGATAGGTCAGCGTAACTGTAAATATGGAAGCACTATTGCTGCCCTTCGCCGAACCACATTGTCTCTCACGGTCAGGTAACACTAAATGCCTCCCTTGACGCATCGCTTCACGAGTGGCCCCAATTTGTGATGAATCCCTCCTCACGTCTCTGACCCACATTGACGACACCTGTCTGCTGTTAAGAACTGTTGGACACGTCGCGTGTTGTGTGGCGAATACTATGTGCAGCCTGTTCTCAGCAAGTCAGACCATCGGTTCTGGCAACCACGACGCTCCTGCTTCGGACTTTCTGTGCGTCAGCAGCCACTTTCCATGAACCACCTCGATACCATGTGGGACACCAACGACGCTTCAAAGATGTGTGCTTTACTGGACAAACCATCACTGAGTTGCACTCAGAAAGCCGTACCAGAGACTCTCGTCTGGCTTTGCGTGGGGCGTACATTGTCGCCAAAAAAACCAAGGCGTCTGTTATTTTTTTTTCTTTCCTTGTGTTACTCGCAAAGAGCAGCTCGTCCATTTACATTGTTTCGCGAGTTATAGTACAACCAAAACCAAATCGGGCTCAATGAGAGAATGATTGCTCTGTGAAAACAGTCTAAAACAGAGTGGGATAGGATCTTTTTCCCTCTTTTTCTGCACCCTAGTAGAAAGTCCTTTACTCTTCAAAACAGGGGCTAAGGTTGTTTATTTATTCAACTTTTTTTTGCGATCGCAGCGCTGAAGTTTCCAGGGCATTATGTTTAGCGGGTCGAGAGAAATAACGCGGGCGTCTCCCTTGTCACTCAGCACGTGTGTACTATGTCTGGGCACGGCCGATAGATGGGCGGATAAAGATAACTTTCACGAAAGCTACTTCCCCTCTGTGAACCACCCCCGTTTTAGGTGCGTTCTTGGGAGCTATGTAGTTGCGGCTTCCTTACGCTACGCTGCCCGCTTTCGGCACCCTGTAACGAAGCGATTAAAAAAAAAAGAAGAAATGGGTGCCTTGCGAGAAATGTCTTGTACATATTGTTCGTTATGACAAGTGAAGTTTTTTCGTTTGTAGACCAGATTCTCTCATTTCCCGCAAGTTGTTCCTGGTGCGTCCTTGATAAGCGACTGCCGGCTATGCGTGCGTGCGTATGTGTGTGTATGTTCGCGTGTGCTGTGTGTGTGTGTGTGTGTGTGTGTGTGTGTGTGCGTTTGTGCTTGTGTGTATGTGTGTGCGTGCGTGCTTGTGTGTGTCGATGCGAAGCCATGCAGCCACACAGATGATGTAGTCTGTTGTAACTACGCAAACTGGTCACGGCAACGCCAAGCGATTGAATGCGAATTTGGCTGTGGCATTACCACCAGTGACCTCGAAAAAATCAACACACCAAAGAAACGTCACTGATAAATTACCTACGATTACGGTCGGATAGTGGGGTGTCTAGCGTTTATCGCTATGCTAGCTTGTTCTCGAGCTTTGAACTTGCCCTTGGGAGCAAAGGAGTAGTCAAGCCTTATTCGGAGATTTTCAGACTGATAACCTTACAGCTGTTATCGTTTTACTTATTCATGACCATAATTACTTTAGTTGGTTATTTATCTTCTTCTTTTGTTGAAATGGTTGCTTTCAGTAGTCACGTGTGTTAAAAGACAGTAGTATTGTTGGGTCGTTTCGGTGCTTTTTAGGAAACGCTCAACAACATACAGACGAACGTGCAATAATCTCAAGTCAAGCAGTTACTAGTCAAGAAGTATTCCTAACCGTTACGCACTCTTTGTAAACAATACGAACTTAAAGCGAGCGCTCCAAAAACGTTTCTTGTCTTTTATGCAACGCAGTAAATCCAAAAAAAAAATTATATGGCTATCAGATGCGAAAGTGTCGATGTTCTCAGATCTTGACCATATGCATAGACTTTCAAAGCTAAAGACGTCAATTTTTTTCCTTCAGCACAAAACTGCTGACAGACTGATATCAGATAAGTCAGTATCTAAAGAAATCAGGAAATCTAAGGATAGTTCTTACGTTTCGTGACTGCACGATGAAATTACCGGGCACTGCAGTTTAATTAGTTGCACTGATAAGAATTGTCAATGCTGCGATCTTTGCCAAGAAGAATGCCGTGGCTCATTTTGTACGACTATTTTCTTCGAGCATGAACCAGGGTCAAGTGTACGACCACTGTCGCAACAATTTGTTTTTGAGAAAACTACACGCAGCTGTGGTGTGTGCAAGTGCTTTAACCTTCACGACGGCAGACTGTTTTGAATGGGGTGTTCACGTGAAATCTACTGGTCATACACTTTCCCATTGTTGTGTTGTGCTCGGGCCAGTGCACGCGGGCATCCATTTCACAGCGTTCAGAGTGCTGTCTGTTTCCCTCCAAAGTGCAGTGATTGACCCTGTTCGCTCTTTTTTTGAATATAATATAATGCTATACTTCCCATTTTGACTGTTCATTTCTCTTCGCTTGCCTTCGCAAGACTGAAGTCTATGTGCGGAGTCATGGATACTCCCTGATTGCGTGGCAACTATCTGTAGCAATAAAAGTGTGCGCAATTCATTTATGGAAAAGGCCTCGACCTTATATTAGGGAAGACATGGCTATCTGAAAGTCGTGGTGAGCTAGTTGTCTTAGTTGATATTATGAAATTGTTGTTGAAATGAGCTCGAAAGGATGTGTTTATATTGATCCTACCTCTGTGTATCAATTCCAGTAGCACCTGAACTAAAACACACATTTTATTGAGATGCATGTTTTAGAGCTAGCTCTCTCAGTGGGAGAACAAACGATTAGGTGGATACACTACGACCCATAGAGATTTTTTTTTATTTGACATGGAAATGATTTATGAGGCGCCAAACTGAAGCACCATGTGCATGGTTTCTTGGAATCTCATTACGCGCATTTTAGTGGGTGCCTCATAATGCTAGAGATACGCTAATATTATTATCAAATAACAAAATAATAGAATATTAAAATACACACACAATGACTTTCTCAAAGGGTGATGCCGGAATAATCAACACGTCACTTGGAAACATTGGGTCAAGACATCCAATGCAATATAGTTTTGGGATAGTCCCTTCGTTTATTCTCTGGGAGTGATTGTCATGAGCACCTTGTCGGTTGGCGAAATACACTGGTGCTTCAAAGTAAAAAATGGCGCTAGTTGGGGGCGTGTTGGTCGCTTTAGTTTGGCACATTGATATACGAGGTGTTCCGAAAACTTAAGCTGTGCATAAGCAGACATACGATTGAAGAAACAGCCTGGCGTAATACCAAGGGGGACAATTGTGTAGGCTGGAGGCAGCGTCTGCTGGACGCAGTTGTGTATGGAGCCAACCAGACATTGCTAACCACAATTATTAATAATGTTTGTTTGAGTGCTGAGAACATGCACGAGTGCTTAAGGCGGTAGCACGTGCGTTTTGAATCATCGTAAAAAAGAGCGTCAGGGTGACATGGGCACACCATAATTTCCTTCACTATATCCGACTAAAACTGGACAAGGCAGCACTGTTGTACTTCATACGTCTATCAAGTAAATGTAAACACGATGAATAACTGCTTTTTGGTACATATTTAGTCGATTGATCAGTCATCGGTATTACCATCCATATTTGATAAACTGTTTTATTCGGCACTGAAAACCAATTGAATCGAGCCTTGAGTGTCGCAACACGTTGTCAGTGTGTGTGGAAACGTGCTGATTGTTCCCGCAGCATCCTCTTGGAGTGTTCATGTCTACAACCCGTAAAATATTCTTTTAGAGCAACAAAATGCCATGCTTTGCCGCTTCCGCTGCAAGGAGTGCGTGGCGTGCGAAGCGGGCGGCGTGCCAGTGCGTCGAACCATAGCAGGCGAGAAATGACTGCAAATCACCGGAAGTCCCCTGGCAGTGTGGATCAGACAAACATTGCATCCGTTTGACTGGGGCTAACGCCGCGCGCCTTTTTTTTTTCTGTGTCGTACAAGCTTAGTAAAAAATCTACACAGAATATCCAAGGAGTGACTGATGATGAGTGGGGCGAAGTGTCCGTCCGTCCATCCGTCCGTCCGTCCGTCCGTCCGTCCGTCCGTCCGTCCGTCCGTCCGTCCGTCTGTCTGTCTGTCTGCCTGTCTGTCTGTCTGTCTGTCTGTCTGTCTGTCTGTCTACTCCTATTCCACTAGAACACATGTCGGATGGACGAACGCTTCACCCCACTCATCATTCACACAACGTGGATATGCTGGCTACGCAGGATGGAAGGACGACCGATCAGGTGATTTTATAAAGAGCTTCGCCCCCTGAAAAAAACTGCCTGTGGGACCGCAGATTATGACAGGAAACAAACACATGTGGCGGTATTCATATTAAAAAGACAGGGCATGCAAACACGTCTTTTTAGAACACTTATACGTACGTAGCAACTAGTTCAGCTTTCTGCTAATCCATGCAGCAAAATATTAGTTCGCTGCAGTGGCCTGGCGGCTGTAGTGGTCGACGGCTGAGCCGCAGGTCACGGACTCAAATCCCGGTCAGGGCGCCCACTTTCTCGATGGAGGCGAAGATGAGGCTGAGGCTCGAGTACTTCCATTTAGGTGCACGTTAAAGAACCCCAGGTGGTGGAAATTTCCGGTGCCCTCCACGTGCGGCTTCTCTCACAAGCATGTTTTAAAAAGTTATTAATATATTAGTTGCCACCCCGCCGCGGTGGTCTAGTGGCTAAGGTACTCGGCTACTGACCCGCAGGTCGCGGGTTCGAATCCCGGCTGCGGCGGCTGCATTTCCGATGGAGGCGGAAATGTTGTAGGCCCGTGTGCTCAGATTTGGGTGCACGTTAAAGAACCCCAGGTGGTCGAAATTTCCGGAGCCCTCCACTACGGCGTCTCTCATAATCATATGGTGGTTTTGGGACGTTAAACCCCACATATCAATCAATATATTAGTTGCCATTAGTCTATAAATATTGTGTGTACGAGAGGCAAGTAGTGGTCTAATAAAGAATCGAAACGCATAACAAAAGATGGGAAACGTAGCCGAAGAAAACAGAATTAGGCATGTCACGAAAATAAAAGGTTCGGGAGAATGAAATGAAAAAAAAAAAAAGTGGGAGACCCTCGAGCTTCGCGTTCAATAGTAAAAAGCGATAACGTAATCGGGATGCTTGAAACTTATCGTAGGATGCCGACAGGATGTGCTACATAGCTGATAGCTTACTGCGTCATAATTCTTGCTTCAACTCTGTTCAGTGCCCACTACACGTCTGTGAGCTGCCACTGGCACCTGCAAAGCTGCACAGTTTCTGATGGATGGGCGGTGGTAAACCACCCACAGGTTGCATGATTCGCATGCTTACGCGTCTGGCGTGATTCTAGGCTTCCTCTACGCAGTATAACATGCGTCAAGGAGACTCCTGTCGCTAAACTACATTCGTATTGTGTTTTTTTTTTTCTGAAGCAGTTTCAACCAATGGTTTGCCTCTGCGGTAGAACACCTGTTTGCCTCGTAGAAGGCGCGAGTTTGATTATAACTGAATCCAAAGATTTCATTATTCGTTTTATTTGCGTCTCTCTGAATTTTTCACTCACAACCAACGCCACCGCACTGGCGCCTGCAGTAGATTTTCTGCGAAGCAAGCTTTTTAAGGCTATCGCGTTAATAAGTTCGAAGACACATTGGAAAGTATTTGAGAAGGCAGTCGTCTCGCAATGGGCATATATTAGTTTAAATGGGACGTTCTTACTGCCATGGTGTTCCCCCATTTGTGTGTGTTTTACTTCGTGGCTAAATTGTGTTATTAGCTAAACACAAACTAGGCCAGCAAACAGTTTTGTTAAATACTATACTGATCACGTTTATACTATTTGCTTCAGCGGTTGGCGGCGAAAATCTATATCAGCCGCAGTAGTAGCAGATGCGAAGAGACGGATTATGTATCAAGAGTGATAATTACAGCAAATTAACAATAATTGTTTAGCTAATTGGAGCTGTTCTGCTTACAAGCAGAAGAACGTACGACATATGAAATAATATTAGGTCAGTATGGCTAATAATCGCAGAAATGCATGAATACGAAGACAAGAAAAGATATAGAGACAAGAAATGTGCGACAATTCAGGATCTACATCAACATATTCTTTGCGTGGATCACTGAAAGCATCATGTCTCGCACGCACCAGAAAGCGATACTGACAACCTTTCAACGTAAGTAATGAAGCTTCTTTAAAGCCACAAAAGCTTCTACAAACTTCAGCAATGGAAAGGGAGACTGTGCTCTTCTTTCATATTTCCCGCGTTACTCTCCTATTCATGCGCCACCACCTAAAGATGATATACACCGGTTTCACACGGCTCTCCGCTGATCGCGATTAGGACAAAATTCCTCATAGTGATTGGCTCCCTTTCCCAGCTGCTTACACAGCCCAATCAAAATCAAGAAAATTGATACGGATTCAGGCCGGATCACGATCAAACGTGACCGCGCGAAGCGAGTATTATCAACTCGGCCATCATTGTGTGCTTTAAAAACAAATAACATTTAATTGCTACAATACTCCCCATGCTACCACATGAACCTCTGTGTTATTATCGAGCAGTGCTCCGTGACACGCCTCTTGGAAGTTCTCAGAATAAACAGGAGAAGCCGTACTCGGATTTCCTCCTCCATTGAAGTTTGCCAAGTCGAGACTCCATTCGGCACAAGCAGATAATGAAGCAAGGCTCACTTACCCCATCTTTGCTTTCTATGCTCGTGATTAAAAAAAATGCATATATAGCAATCGGGAACTGTGGGAGACTGCCATTCACTGCTACAATCCGGCACTTCCTGAGGTGGACTGAGGTGGTAGAGGAGGTCTACCACGTGTATATTCCTCGCCTTTTCGCAGTTCTTTTCCGTTAAAACGGTGTGACAATGCTGTGTCTCTTTCTCACTTACGCCAGGATGTTCATCCGAGTAGAATAGTGCCAGTTTTTTTTAGGCAAGTTGCTACAGAGGGGCACGAATGAAGAAAGAAAGAAAGAGAGAAGGAAGGAAGTAAATAAATAAGCAAACAAATAAATAAATGAATAAAATGATAGTGGCACAACGCGGGAAGTGCATGCGTGTTTATGTACAGCTCGTGCCGAAGGGACGGCCATCATCAGCCGCAGTGGGGCGTTCTGCCGACCACGCCGAGAGCGTTGGACGAAGGCTAAAAGGCATAGAGTGCGTGCGCGCTGCGCCTCGCGGCAGCCGCCCGTGCAGCCGCGCCGTGCTCTTCCGAACCGGAGCCGGCGCTCGTCCTTGGCGGCGCGTGTACGTACGCGCGCACAGAAGACCAGCAGGCCGTTCCTCGGACAAGCGTGCAGCACGCGGATTTTTCGGCCCAGACCAACACGAAAAATAAAAAGGAGCAGGCTGTGCGCGGACCACCGCTCAGCCACAAAGAAGTGCATCATAGTCGTCGTCGGGCAACGGTGCGGAGGTCACGCACAAGAAATCACCCCCGCGGGAAACCGAAGAGATTCTCGTGCCCGACTCCCAACGGACGGGACTTCTTGTTTCTCTATCTCGCTGTAGAAGGCGGCTGCGACG